TCTAGCTTATTTTCTTGTTGAAATGTCAAATACCATTTGGATGTTCATCTTTAGGACCCACTGACATAATTTTTGATATTTTTACAAGTTAAATGTAGTGGTTTTAGTTAACATTTGAACAATTGATTGCCCAATAATTAACTGAGATATGAAAATATTTCCAGACTTATAAACTGCAAATGAAGTTAGAACAGCAGGTAGTAATTCTGATTTTTCTATATGTCCATATAGGGATACTAAATATTTCTTATTACATGAACAATATTAGCAATCCTCTCAGAGTATTCTTATTTTTAATATGAAATCTGAAGAAAACAGTTTTGTGGCCTATATAAAATATATAAATTATAAACTAAAGTTATTATTAGGGGAATGTTATTTACAGGTACTCGCAGCAGGAGTGGCAAGCATTTTATGTAAAAAACAAAACCACATAGCAGATATTTCCAGCATTGAGATGATAATTTTTTTTTAACCCACCCTTCCTCCACCACTTCTTCCTTCTTTTTCCTATCCTCACATTTGTCTTGCTAACATAACAACATTAGGAAAGTGTAAAACTATTCTTTAGCTCTGAGCCATATAAAAATTGGTTAGGGCATATTTCTCAGCTTTCGATGTGCAAACACTCCTTGGAAGATCCTGCTAAAATGCAGATTCGGATTTTGTGGGCCTTGGCTTGGCCCTAATATATTGTAGTTCTACATAAGCCTTTGGCTATCAAAGTTCTTGAGGTTGAACTGTTTCCTGGCACTCTACGCGATGAACAGCCCCCTCTACTGTTCTGCATCTGAATCCCCAAAGACTAATGTACAGCTGTCTTTTTTATTTTTTTAGTAACTAAATTATAGGGTTGTTTTGGATCAGTAATGTAGAATAACTAGTAGCTTATTGGTCATTAAAGCCCCAAACCTCTTTGGAAATTTGAGGGAGCTATTGTCTCCATCATCAGCAATTTTTTTCTGCCCGCACAGGAATACCAATTTTTAGTAACAATTCTAGAGGGTCAGAGAAATTCCTAAAGCTTCTCCATCTTACTGGGATGTCTGTATACTTTCTGAGTATAAGGAACTCAGAATGTATTCCCTCATTTACAGTAACATGATAAAATTTAAATTGTATCTGCATTTTTACATATCCATCTCAGTCATCTGGCTGGTAAAACCTTTCTACTTTATTGTATACCCTATGGGGTGTTGATGACCCGATGAAGAAAATTTCCTAATCATTGACAAGAGTGAACCAAAATTCTTGCAATGCTGTGTGCTAGATTTGTTCACAGTGCTGTTGCTTATCACTTAAAAAAAAAAAGTGTTTTATCAAAATATAGTTATATACCACCTATTTTAAATGTATTTACTATTTCTATGGAGTTCGTTGTACGGTCATTGTCAATAAAATTTAGAATACATATATTCTATATATTCAGAATATATATTCTATATATTCAGAAATTAATATCATGCCACTTTGCTTTTTCACAAGGCCTACCTTAATATATGTTCTGCTAACTGAAAAAAAAAAATCACAATATGTTTGCTCTTCCAGCAAAAGTCAAAAAGAAAAATAATGTCCATTTCTGTTTTGCAGTAGTCATGCTAGAGACAGTGTGTATATCTCAAGGAATGAGATTTGCATTATAAGTACCTTCCCCAGGAACACATCTTATAGGCTTTGTATTTTTATTTTATTCTTGCTTTTACAATATGTTAATGCTGTTTTAGTTTTTTTTGTGTGTGTGTGGTGTAGGATGACACTATTTTTTAGATCTGGGAACACTCAAAAAATTTCCCCGTACAGACAAAAATGTTTTTTTATAAAAGATTTATTTATTTGTGCATACAGAACTGTGGTATAGGCCAGTGGTGCAGGGGTGGTGAGAGGATTCACCAGAGACAGAGTGGGGAGCAGAATAGGCAGATTGACAAAGTACGCTGCTGAGGGGAGCAGTGGGCGGGTCAGGAGAGGTATGCTGCACCATGTGGATCACTTCAGGAGCAGGCGGGGATCGAACTCATGCATAAGTGACTTTGGCTTCTTATTGCTGGGCCCGATGTGCCACCAGGGAGCTCCCAGACAATGTTTGTTCAAATGCTTTATCCAATTTTAATTTGGTTATTTGTATTTTTGTTGGCTTATGCTTTTTTTTAGATACTCTAGATAAATGCCCCCTATCAGCTATAACATTTGCAAATATATTTTTGATTCTTTCAGTTTTTATCATTTTTAAAATGTGTTTTCTTAAGAACAGTCATATTTAAATTTGATGAAGTTAAATTTATCTATTATTTCATTTATCACTTTTCCTTTTAGTATCATATCCAGGAAGTTTTGCCTAATTCATGGTCATGTGATTTCTGTTTGTATGTTTTACCACTTTTAGATCATAGATGTTGATTAAAAGTTTTTTATATTAGTGGAAATAAAATTACTAGAAGAATATACAAATGTGTCAGCACTACAACAGTTTATATATGTTATAGTGATAATGAGTAGAATTCTCAGAGTACTTTTGAGGCATGCTGGATTCTAAATCTTATTACTTAATGATTTACATATTTGTCTCCCATTATCATAGAATTTTAGTTATTTGTTTTCTGTTATATTATACAGTATTTTGTATTTATTATCTTGTAATGTGGGAAATTATTTCCAATATAAATGATTTTCTAGTAACATGGACAATTAACCAGCTTAATTTTAATTGTAGAACAGGATTGGCAATAGAGAAAATAATGGAAGATTGCATATGGGAGATTAGAGAAAAACAAGGTGATATCAAAACATGATGTTTGTTGCTTCCCATAGGCCTATTACCTAAAAAGTGACATAGAATAACTGATGATTTTTAGGAGCACCTTCTATGACTATGTGTCCGGATCTTTACATTGGGAATAAGTTTCTGACTTGAAAATTATTTTCAGTCAATCACATTCACATAATCTGAAATCTCTTTTGATTATTAATTTGGCCATAATTCTTATTTATATATTTTTCATATTCCTTACTTACTTTAGAGACTCAGTATTAATAATATGTGACCTTTATTATTGTAGTGCATAATGCATTTGCTTGTTCCTATTTTAATATTTTGGGTCTTTTAATTTTTTTTTTAATTCTGATCTGTGTACTTTAAATTACTCTTTTGTTCTAATTACCTGTCTTCAGAAAAGAGAATGTTCATTTACTATCAAATGAAACTTCCTTTATTAAATTAAAATATTCATTTAAAATTAATACTGAATTTAAACTAGAATAATAAACTAGAAGGAGTAAATACTACTTCTGTTTATTGAGCAGAAATAGAATGGTTATCTCTCAGTATCTCCTCTTGATTTACTTGTAGCAGCTGGTAGGACTCCCCTACTAGCTCTTACCCTTCCCTATTTTTACAAACTAAAATATTCAAAATAATGCATTATGCAAAAAAAATCCATCTTAAAATGCCAAGAGCTCCTTTTTTTCCCCTATTTTTGTATGGCGCACACCAACATCACTTTAATTGTAAGTCATGAGTATCTATCACTTTTTTCACTATATGGTGATATGCCAAATTCTGTCAAGAGTTCACTTTATAACATGCTATCATCTTTCTCCTCTTTTCGACCTGAAGCATCATTTACCAACAGGTTCTTTTCATTGTTCTCTGGGATATTTGCATAACACTCAACTTTCTTTATTTCCCTTGCTATCTATCTTTTACACAGGGGATGAAGCATACACTTCCTACACATGAATGGCCATGTGGGGCCCCCTCAAATTCTGTTGGCCATGTGGACCCAAAGTCACTCTCTTTAGCACTGTACTTTAAAGCCCCATTTTCTCTGGCTCTACAACTATATTTTACCCTAACCTATCACATCAGAAGAACCTTGACGATGAAATGTTTTATGCACATACTTGCACTTCATTCTGCTTTTGCTCATGTTTCTTTAATCTGAATGCTCTTTTCTGTGGACAGATGTTATTCCTTATAACTCAATTTAAATGATACAGTTTTTGGAAGGCTCTTCTTATGCTCTAGTTAGAGTTAACCTTTCCCCCGCTTTCTTTATGTAATGCATTTGAACCTCCATGTGTTACATATTGATTTTTTTAAAAAAAATATTTATTAATACAGAACTGGGGTGCAGACTGGAGGTACAGGTTGGTGAGAGGTTTCACCGGTGACAGAGCAGAATAGGCAGACTGATGGGGAGCAGAATAGGCAGACTGATGAAGTAAACTGCTGAGGGGAGCAACAGGCTGGTCAGGAAAGGTCTGCAGTGCCATGTGGGTCACCTCCAGGGCGGGGGATTGAACTTGCACAGAGTGGCTGTAGCTTGCAGTGCTGCGCCTTAACCCGCTGCACCACCGGGGAGGGCCCACATTTTAATGTAGTGATTTTAATGTAGTGATTTATGCTTGAGTTCCTCAGCTGACATACCCAAATACAGATTCTTTGGCTTCTGCTTAGCCTTCTGTATCCCTAGATAACTGATGTTATTTCCTAACCTTCTTCCTCTGTTAAATTGAGTTGATATTTCTACACTAGTCACCATGTCTATTTTTATGTCAAATCCTATGGTATAACACCAGAATTATAAATAGCATATGTGTGTGCGTGTTCTGTATATTTGCCTGCTTGGCTTTCTCCTTGACTATACACAGTAAGCACTTTGAAGACAGAAAATTTGTATTACTCATCTTAGTACCCATTCTAACATACTGGGTCCAGAAGCAAAATCTCATACCCTCACTTTTTTCTTGACTCTTTCATGATTTATGAAAGATGTTAACTCACTCTCTGGAATTGTATTAATTTATTGCTATAGTTTCTCATTCCATAAGGGAGTTGGGAAGACTTAAGTGGTGCATAAAAAACAGAAGAGTGAAACATAAATAAAATAGTAGTGCATTTTGAATAATTGAAAAGCTTAATTTCACCAGTATGAACCCTAATGAGACAAAAGCTACAGATAAGGAATGTTCAAGCGCTTTAATTCTGTTTTATTTTGTAGGATCTCGTCTTCGCCAGGAAGACTTCCCCCCGCGAATTGTGGAGCACCCTTCAGATGTCATCGTCTCTAAGGGAGAGCCCACCACTTTGAATTGTAAGGCCGAGGGGCGGCCCACACCCACCATTGAGTGGTACAAGGATGGAGAACGGGTGGAGACCGATAAGGATGATCCCCGGTCCCACAGGATGCTTCTGCCTAGCGGGTCCTTATTCTTCTTGCGCATCGTGCATGGGCGCCGAAGTAAACCTGATGAAGGAAGCTACGTTTGTGTTGCCAGGAACTATCTTGGTGAAGCAGTGAGCCGAAATGCATCTCTGGAAGTGGCATGTAAGTGATCATAATGAGCCTGGTAAATGGCAGGCACATTACTTTGATTTATTTTTAGTAAGCTTTGATTCATTCCCATAAATGCTTAATATCTAAAGTAGAAAAACAATCAACACACTGCATAGTTTTAGTTTGCCTTCCCCCAAAAAAGCTGGTCAAAATAATGTGAAGGCAGGGCGTTGGAATACATTTATTCATATTGATGCAGTGAGAGATTATGTTATTACAGTAAGTGAAGTGGCAATGGTGTCAATCATATCTAAAATTTCAGCTAATAATGAGAGATATAATCAAGTTTTAAAGTGTTAAATGGTAAATTTAGGTGTAAGATGGCATAAAGCACAAGGCATAAATTCAATATTACACATATTTCTGTACATATATATATATACTTATATCTTACATACTTATATGTTTTATACACACACACACACACACACACACACAGATTTCTGAATCTTAACTTTTGTCAGGCAACTTTATAAAGAATATGTTTTCTAGGCTGTATTAACTTACTTCCTGGCTCAGTTTAGGAATCTTTATTCTATGTATTCCAGGGAAAATAACAGCAGTTGTCTTCTCTCCCTTCCATTTTTAAAACGAAATCATCACAGAAGAGACTATAGGAACAAAATGTTGATATGTAGGAGGGTCTTATTCAGTATTGGTAAACAATAATAGCTAAGAATTTCCCCTGCCTTTGTTATTTTATAATATTTATTTTTGTTAATAAGTTCACTTTCATTAGAAAATTAAGGTATCAGTGCTTTGCATCTATTTCAACATCTCTACCCTAACTTCTTGGACCATTTCTTGGACAAATTAAAAAAAAAATATATGACAGGTTTTATTTCTTATTTGTGGGTATTTGGTGTCATAATTTGAGTAGTATTATCCCTACTGTCCATTTTCATCTCTTTGGGAGAAACACTTTATCACAGATTCATGTGCATAAGATGGCACTAACCCTCCCTTTCGTCTCCCCTCTCCCCCAACTATGTCAATTTGTACTTTTAAAGAACCTGACTGTACATGGCAAGTCTTCATAGCAAAGAAAATTGGAGACATTCAGGTTGGTGAGCCATGTATCTGGCTGGGAAGAGAGTGCAAAATAATAACTGATGGTCTCCAATCTTTAATGTTGAGACTTGTATTCACATCTACAAGAGACCATGTTCCATTAACAAAACTGCTGTAAAACTGGTGTACATTGTATAGTTTTCAACCATATATCATTATTTTTACACATGAAAACATCCCTTAATAAACATTTCCTATTTAGCTATCCCAGTAAATGCTTTAGCTCTCAAGTATCCAGCTTTTGATTTATGGTTTGTATCAGGAAACTTGACATCCATCATTACTTACATGTCTAAATCAGATAGAAAAATTCTAGAATATCCTAAAACCCAAAATTGTTATGTGAAATACCTTGAGCTATAAGCTTGAGAACTTTAGCTAGCAATGCCAATTTATACTGACCAGGCAGTTGTAGTCTTATAACTTCAAAAAACAATTAAATGCAGTTTAACGAAATTTGAAATGTTTATAAAATTTTAAGAATGAAAATTATTCCCAACTGCACTGTTTTAATTTTGAAGAGTCTCGGTCTAGAGCTTCTCAAACTTTGTGAGTTATATCAATATCACACTGTTTTGATATTTTCTTCTCCACCAGGTTTTCATAGTAAATATATCACTTATTGTCCAATTTTATAGTAAAATAAAACCAATTATGATGAAGTAACCAGGACTCACACAGTAGCTTAATGGAAAATTCAGTAGCTCATTGTAATTTTTCTGTTTTTAGTTTAATGGAATTATTCCATATAAGCAAAAAATAAATAAATAAATCTGACTTCACATAAATAAAAATTAAGAAACTTTCACTAAAATTATATTGTATTTACTCATCAGAATCTCTTTAATCCTTAATTAACTTTTCTTCTCAGTATTTAAGTTTATGTAAATGACAATTATTTTATTGTTGAACAGTTATAGGTATAATCTTATTTTTTTCCTGAACCTTATATTTACTGTAGTTGCTCCCAGCACACATGAATTTTGTACTTTTACACAGTCATAACATTTTCTCTTTCCTAATTGTATCATTAATAGTGAATCAAACTGATTTAGGAGGAACATTTCAAACATGATTTTTTTGTGTGTATAATATGACAACAGCATTTTTTATTTTTAAATAAATGAGCTTTGAGAAATGCTAAAAATACTACTGACCTAGAGGGGAAAGCAAGAAGCCTACTAAATTGGATTTAGCTAGTGAATAAAATCCTTTCTTCTAATGCCATGTCAACAGTTCATGTCATTTGAAACAACACAAGATTAAATAATGTCCATTTGTATGCTATTCATCTCTTTTGTTTCAGCTCAGCAGTTTTCTCTTTTTTTCTTATGTGTTTTAGGGCAAGTATTAATATAGAAATTTCAGTCAAAACATCATAATTTTCAACACTATTGGTAATTAAGGTCCATTTTTTAGATAGTGATAGAGACATGGCTACAGATTATATCTATATTTGACCTTCATATTTTCAAATATCCAGCATAAATGATCAGTATTGCCACATCTGTTTCTTCATCCATAAAGAAAATAATGCAAGCTTAAAAACACTGTATATTGGGAGAACTTCAGGTAGCTGGATATGAGCTTGGTGGACAGCTTATGTTGGAAAGGTAGGCATGTGCTAAATCATAAAACCTGGACTTTCAAGTGTAAAATGAGTGTCTTTTAAAGAGAATGAAAGAATGTGTTAAGTGGATGATGAGTGAAGCCAGATAGAAGTTAAGAGGCTGTCAGCTAATTTAGGAAATAGTATATATGTTAGACTGTGAACTGAAAATGCCAGTAAAAATGGTAAAGAGGAAATTGTCTGAATCATAGTTAGAAATCATACATCATAGTTAGAAATCATACATCATAGTTAGAAATCATACATCATATCACTTTGTATTTGATTTGAGAGAACAGAGGTTTTCTCAATGTTATTTTATTTATTTATTTATTTATTTTTGCAGAATTATAGTGTACAGTGCTACCATCCATAGTGACAGCAGAAACTGGAGAAATCAGGGTACTGGGAAAAGGGAAGTGAAGTCAGCTTTGACTGTTGGTATTATTTGACCCCAGTGGGAAACCAAAGTAAAAAGAGCTCATGTTTCCTTAAAAGAGTGGCTTCTGGAATTGAGAAGAGAGGTCTTTCCCAGACGTTCCCAAATGTTGAAGCCATGGAAACAGAATAAACATGGATGTGTAGCCAGACTTTATGGAGGGTGTGGTTAATAACTGTTAGATCAGTCCCATCACTTAAAACACCTGAGTTTCGTGGTAGGTGAAATTTAGAAGCGCTCGAGCAGGTGGTTCACCACAGGTACCATGCGTGATATGCTGAGCTTCAAGTTGAGAAACTAACAAAAAAGCAAGGATTTGATTATAAATAAAAGAGAAAGTGGTTGGCTGTGGAAATGACAAGTGATAACCAAGGAATAAATATCTGTGGGTTCTATCAGTGAAATAAATGCAGCCGTTGAAGAGTAAGTAGGTAGTGCCCATGAAATGCAAGTACCTCCCCCCCCCCCCAAGTCTTTAGCTCTGAATGGTGTGGGACGGAATCAAGCAGGGCATGCATCCGGGCCTCTACTCTACTGATGCTTGGGCTGGGGTAATTTTTCGTTTTAGGGACTGTGCTGTGCCTTGTAGGATGTTTAGCAGCATCTCTGCCCTTTGCTCATAATATAGCACAAGACCACCATTACTTAGCCTGAGTGTGACAACCCGGAATGTATGCAGATAATGCACAGTGTCCTTCAGGTGGAATGCAGCAAAGTCAAAGTCATCTGAGAACCATTGACCTGGGTGGTTAAGAGTATTTAGATGGGGAGAGAACAGAAGTGTTGCAGGTTTTATTGTGAAGGCATCACTGATTAAAACATGCAAGTTTTTAACTTTCACTTGCTTTTTATTTTGATTTCAAAAATCTTGATTTCTGCTTTTGTATGAAATGGGCAATTTTACTAATCACATCTATTTTTTTTTCTTTAAACCCTACTATATTTGTTCTTTCCTTTTTTTTTTCTTTTTGCTTTAATACTTCAGTTTTATGCAACAGAACTGTACAGTTGGAAAAAATATATTCAGGACTAATATTTTCAACGGAGGCTTGAATCACTTACTGGGTATTTGCCTTCCGCCCCACTCCCTCTTGATTTGGGGGGGGGGGAATGTACAAGTTGGAAGGTACTTTCAAATTGCTTAACTTCAACAAAGATCTTTAGGTAAAAGAAATTTTTACATCTTTGGAAGACAGAATCACAGGGTCCAAGGCAGTGCCTGGCACTGAAGATGTTAATGTGCAGTTATCCAAGGGGCCACTGAGAGGGGCTCAGTGCGGTGCAGATAGAGTTTCATTTGGAACACCGGTTCTTTCTGTGTTTGGAGCAGAAGGAGCCAGAGGTCCTCACGCAGATTGTGGCTGCCTGAGATACAGCCGGAGTCCCTGGCAGCCCCTAGAGATAGCAGCTGTAGCCCCAGGTGGTAAATATATGACAGCAGCTTGATCTATCGACCAGGGTAAGAGGGGGTTCTGGCCTAAATGAAAATTCATGAAAAATTGATGAAGTCCCCAGATTATTTTTTCCGTTTCCTTTTCTCAGCACTATACCAATGCAGAGAGGGGAGATTAAATGAGGTGCTGAATGCTTTAGTGACAAGGGGGTTGTGGTTCATAGGTCAGGGGTCACTGAGAACTTTTCTTTTTTTAGTTTGCTTTCCTTACTACTCAAGCAAGACACAGAAACTTTTCAAATAAGATGTGGCTTACCGTTGCTTTGATAAAAATTAAGTGGCTAATATTTAATATTCAGCTTCTGATGCAGCTACAAAAGGGAAAACAGATGTGATTCATAATTCAATTGGGGAACGAGAGATAGATTGAATTCTATGACTGCAGGGCAATTTCTTTCCTTTTTCTTTTTTCTTTCTTT